TCTCGCGATGTATGAACACCATGATGATCTGAATGAGACATGGTTGCAGCGATTGATGTGGGTAACAAAACACGAATCGGAGATTCACCTCAAATAACTTATGAGGCCCCTCCTTCTAGCGCCAAACTGCTGTTATGCGATTGTTAACAACGATCTGATGATAGATTTACTTGATGACTATTAGTGATTTGAACGTAAAGTATGTATGAAATACTCAACAATGGCCCCGGTCCGAGGTGAACCGAGGTGAAAAGCTTCTGTGAGCTGTTTCATGTTTCATCATAAAAAAGTTTTTTTCGGGAATCGAATCCCGTACAAGTATCATGAGTTTGCTATTTATAGTAACTTTTTGAGATACATATCGCGATTTGTGTGATGTTTTTTACATAAAGCTACTTTTTGGTGGGCGGCAGCATCAGTGGGTCCCACTTGGTCTCGTGATTTGCTAAGGAGGCGCGTAGGTGCCTTGTCATCAGCTTAGGAGGTGATGACCTCGGTTCATATGGACTTCGGTTCTGGAAAGACCTCGGTTGTGAGGATCAGCTCGGTTTTCTATAGCTTTGGTCGGTTCGATATGTGGAGCGAGATGACTGTTGGTCACGTCATTATCAGTAATAACACAGTTCGAGGCTAATAACCTTGATTTACCGAATCAGATGATAACAAATTTATCTTTTTAAAAGTTAATGATATTGTTTGCTTGGGGACAAGCAAAGAACTAAGTGTGGAGAGTTGTTTGTTTTGTTTTTGTGTGTTTTTCGTGCATTTTAATTTGCTTGAGTCGAGTCTTTTTAGGTTCGGTTTGTGAGTCCCGGTCCATGTTTGTTCATTTTTAGTAGCTTTTCTTTTTTGAGTCGTTTTCGTATATTTTTCTATCTTCCTTATGCGTTTTGGTGTTTTGTAGGCTCAGAGGGAAGAAATAGTCATCTCGTGATGCGCCGTCTCGAATGCGTAGTTATGGGGTTTGCCGGTGAATTCGGCGTGTTGATTAAAAAGAATTGCATTTTCAAGGTGTTTGTAAAAGTGTGCGACGAGTTGGAGCTTTAAAAGTCAAGCTAAGGCCGGATTAGAGCCCTCGAAAATGCTTCTTTATCCCGTGAAAATGGTGTATCCCGCGAGTCCATGCTAACCTGCGAATTCCATATGCTATCCTGCGAGTTTTCATCCTCTATCCTGCGAATCTCACGTATCCTGCGAGTTCCACCTAGCTAGCGAAATCAACCTGCGAAAATCAAAGACCTACCCTGCGAGTTCGACCTATCCTGCGAGTTTTCAACATTTAATGTGTGTGTTTTAGTGTGTGTTTGTGGTGTAGTTATAAATAGACATTGTGCTTTGTAATTTGGGACATCAACCCTCATTTTCCAACTTTTAAGTTGGGAAATCCTCTCCATTTTCTCTATTTTCTTTTTATGCTTTGGTTAGCTAGGAGCTTTATTACTCTAATATTCCGGCAAGTTTCCGGTGACATCATTTTATTTCAAGATTCAAACTTTTCCATCTGGTGTTCTTCACGCATGCATTAGGAGAGTGGGTAATTAGCTTTAATCCTCATTACTTCGATTTTGCCCCTTTTTGCTTATGATGTGTTTCAATGTGAATGTGGTTTTGCTTGTTAAATGGAGGAAAGTTTGATTTTTGTTGCTCGTCATGATGTGTTAGAGATTAGTTCATGCTTATCTTGTGTGAAGGGCACGACTTGGTTTTAAGTGTAGTCATTAGTTAGAAAGCTCGATTTAATCACCTAGGATCACATGGCTACTATGATGTTGCTTGGTTCGTCGTGTCTATTCGAGTGATAGAGACTCCGGTTGACTAAGTTTTCATCTTGCATCATTTGCTTTCATTTGCTCTAGATTGTTAGTTTATTTTTATGTGAAATCAATCCCCATCAAGCGAGTAGAATGTGTAGGACATTGTTATCGGTTATGTGACTTTGACGACTAGATAGTAAACGAAGCTCCGAACAACATTCCTTTAAGAACGACCCGAGTCGGGTATCTCGGTTACCACATGCCCAAAAATACTACAAACAGCTATGGCTTGACTTCCAAAAGCTCTAAATCATCGTGAGTTGCTCCGATCGACCTAAAAATTTCAACTCAAATTTATCAATTCTTTTTCTCCTCGTTTGGGACGGCTCGGGCGGCTCGGTCGGCTCGGACGACACATCACGAATTGACTATTTCTTCCTTCCGGACCTACAAAAACACCAAAACGCACAAGAGAAAGAAAATATATACAAACACACATCGAAAACTAAAAGCTACTACAAATAAACAAAGATGGACCGGGAAAACACAAAACGAACCTAAAAAGACTCAACTTATAACGGAAATAAAACACAAGAAAAACACACAAAAACATAACAAACAGCAGTATACAATTATGTATTGACAAATTGTTAAATTCGTCACCATATATAACACAATCGAAGTTAACAATTTTAATTTTTTTTTTTTT